GAACTCGCCGGTGCGCAATCGACTTGTACTACTGGGTGGGGGAAAGTGCGAGTTTCTCGTGTTTACTTCGGGGGAGGGGGGATGAGTTCATTAGAACGGAAAATCGGGGGTGACGCTTGTTCCTTGGGATTGGGGTATTGTAACCTTGATTGGTTAACCCATAACCTGCACACTGGGTCAAATTGACCCAGGTGTAATTGTTTTTCAATAAATTGTTGGTACTGCAAAATAATTATCCATTTCATTTAATTATGCCACATGTTTTTTGGATTTTTTATCCTCATTTTACAGATTTTTATCAAATATCAAATCACATTACGGTTTGCTATAAGTAATCTATGCTCAACACCAATTCGATATCTGGTGGCTTTCTTCCCTCATAAAAATCGGAATGTAGACTTCAAAAAGGCGTATTTTACGGTAAAATAAATTGCGCCCACACAAAGGGTTTTACATTTCACTAAGCGTATTTTACGGTCAAGAAATCGTAAATTACGATCTTAAAGAAGATTTTACAATGAACGCAACGCAGGCTTAACGCAGCGCTTGCAATTGTTCAACATAATCATTCAACTGTTTTTCGATTGTTACGTTCATTGTAGAGTCTTCTTAATAGAAATGTGTTTTACGATTTAATTTACGAAAAAACATGGTATTTTATACTTGAAATAACTTTTTTTTCTTCGTCGTTAATTACGGATAAGCAAACGTATAAAATACGGAAATAATCATCGTTATTTACGAATGCGAAATTGTAAATTACGTCTATGTAATCGTAATTTACGGCGATAATGAGTGTAATTTACGCTTCAACTTCAAGCGTAAAATACGTTTCAGAAAGCGTAAACAATGACTTTTTAAAATTAATGTACGTGTAGGTTTTTCTGTGTGTACCGGAAACTTGAGCAGAAAATTGTTGATATTGTCAGATAATTGTTGTAAATTAGCCGTTAAAAATTCCAAGAGTTTTGAGTTTTGAGAATGAGAATTGAAGAGTAGTGTTCTAGCACTGTATTTGGATTGGAAGCTGTGATGCTGAGTGTTGAAGTTTGAAGTTGAGTGCCAATGTTTGAAGGAAATTTTCTATTGACTGAAGGCTTCAATTAAATTGATAATGAATTCAATTCCGAAACCCGATAACTGCGAAGGGATCTTCCAATTTTGAGCGCAGTTAGATCTATTATCTAAAAATTTCAGTCGGTTTATTTTCCATGACTTGAATGCTTTCCCAGGGGGATGACAACCCTCACAGGGAGGGGAGGCCAAAAACTATTTTCTTACATCGAGCGATACAGTAATGGAAAAGAATAATTACGATTCAACGTTGGTTCACTACAAATCAGATAACCCCACCGTTTTTATTCTCGATTCTATCATCATTGACATTTTTATCGGGGAGTTTCATACATCATTCTTTGTACAGCTCATTTGATGTTTTATCGTAACCATTTATCATTTAATTTCTAAACAGATTTTGTCAACTCATCCAATAACTATTCGTCAGGTGCGACATTTATTAAAAACTCCAAGTTCAACAGTGTTGAATTTTCATCATTCGCAAGCTTCAATGGCTGATAAAGCTCAAATGACATTTCAAAAGTTGAAGTGTCTTTGATTGAATTTTTTTCATGCCGAATCGTTGAGTTTAATTGCTTTTAATTCATATTGCGTTCCCCGATGTATTTCTCGCTTTAATGATGGATGTTTGCGCTACATAATTGAAAATGTTGAAGTTTATTTGAAAGGCGAGGATTGTAACGTCAAGCCGTGCTGTTCTCATTGATGTTGACTTTTCATTTTCGCAGGATTTTAATTGCAATTATAGAAATTTCACCTATGCCAATGCCTAAATAAATTCGAAACATATTTTCGTTTCATACCCGTATTTTCAATAAAAAAACTACGATTTTTTGACGTCTCAGTGACCTCAGATCATATTATCAGATTATTATAATCGTAATAACGCCACGTATAAAAAAATTCACTAGAAAACTCCGCGAATTCGCTACCTAGTGATCATTTTACAGAAGAAAATCGAATTTAAACGATTCATCTTTTGTGTCCTGAAAAAATCTCAAGTGTTTGAAACAGTTTTCCGAAATTTCAGTAACTTTATGATGAATTTTTTCTATTATTATCATGAATTTTTAAAAATATAGTATTCCATTTTACCAAAACATTTAAAAATCCAGAAGGACGTTGTTCCCCATAATCGACAGCATTATTGACACGAAATGGGAGATGCAGACCCCTGGCTCGGAAACATTGGAAAGTTGAGAATATCAAGTATTGGCAGGTCATTCGAATGAGGGTGTGACACGTGCGCCTGCTGTCGTAGACGTCGATACTACTCTCCTAAGACCATAAGATCAAGAGTCACGGTGTTGTATTTCAATGGAAATGCGATGTTATCACGGCACAGCCGGCCGAGCGTCTTTTATTCAACCCATTGATCGTTTTTATTTGAAGAAACAGGGGAAACGGAAATTACGTCGTCAGACCTTTATCAAATTGGCTGCAGGAATGATCATCCCTTTCCGTTTCTAAACTCATGGGATGCCGGTGAAGGGTTCTTTTAAAGGGACTCATGTTCAGGCGCGAGTCTCTTACCCGACAAGGCGAAATTACCGACGGTGGAGTTACCAATGAATCATAATCATCAGAGCGAGTCACTTATCTTATGAATATATACTGGCGTATGAGGCGAACTCTGCAATTTTATTGACATTTTATGAATACACAGAGAAGAAAAATGTTTCTGGTTTCCAACACCATGAGGTCTAAAATTATTATTAGTTTTAGAACATAATTCCTGAAATTCTTATCACTTAAATTTTCTCTTTTCTCTCAATTTACTTGAATTTTCTATAAAAATTTGTAAATTACGCTCAATTTTGGTTTCATTGAAAATTCAAAAATATATACTTCGATTTTTCTGTTTCCTATGAATTTTCATTGACGAAATTCCTTAAAATTCTACTCCTTCTAATTCTTCTTCTTCTTCTTAATTCTTTTGAGTTCTATTATTTACGGAGATGAAGGTGTGATGCCTACAAGTATTTCTGCGAAATAAAGCTCAGCTTGTTTCGCGCGGTAAATATTGAAGAATTTTTTGATTATTATTATTTTCAATGTGTATTGAGTATATTAATTATTCTATCCAGTGATGAGTACGTTCTGAGTTATTAACAATCGTGAGGTGTTTAATTCTATCCTGAAGGAGTAAAAATTTAATTTTTGATTGAGAAAGGGAATTTTATGAATAAAAGGATTTTTCACATTTTGTCTTAGGAACGATTGCTTTATGGTTCCATTGGTAATAGAATCATATTCGAGTGTAGAATTGCACTGTTAGAAAAAAAATTGAAATTTCAGGCTGATGCGATTGCAGCGACGAGATCGGCGGACAACACCGTGGCCTCGCCGGTGCGTAATCGACTTGTACTACTTGTTGGGGGAAGTCTGAGTCTCGTGCTTACTTGGGGAGGGGGGGGGGTCTGCGTTTATTAAGACGGAAAAGCGAGGGTGACGCTTTTCGTATACGCGATTGAGGTATTGTAACCCTGATTGGTTAACCCCTAAGCTGCACACCCGGTAAAATGGACGCGGCGCTAAATTTTTTCCCAATAAATTGTTGCCTCTGCGAAATCATCATCTATTTCAAAAAACCTTAGGGGCCAGTCAAATATTACGCCACAGGTTTTTTGGACTTTTTAGGTACAAAAGTTAACCTGAGGGGTACGAATTAGCGATAAGACAATTTTTTGAAAGCAATAGGGGCGGTTGACGTAAAACGGACACTTTTGACTTCTGTTTTAAATGTTAATGAGGAGTTAAAATGTTGATGAAATTTAATAATTTTTTTCCAATACAAAGAACAATTCTTTCCCTTTGTGACGAGCCTAAACTGAGCTCAATTGATAAATTTGTTTCTGAGTTATAAATGATTTTAAAAAAGTCTAAAGTGTCCATTTTACCCCGTCTTCTCCTACATGCGATGCCAATGCGCATGCCGCTAGAATTTTCAAATAAATTTTTGAATTATTCAGGAAGTTTGAAAATTATCCTGAGAGGTACCAATTACTGATGAAATTCGAAAATATATTGATTCGGTATTGAACCGTTAAGAAACATTTGGGAAATCTTTAAAAAAATTAGAAAGGTTACTTTCGAAGCATTGATAGAAGCATTGATAAAATAACTTAAAATGGTAATTTTTAAAAAATTCCTATTTCAAGTTATCAATCCGCCAATCTCTAAATCCCATAAAAAATTACCAACCCCCTCGGAAACGTACTTGAGGGTAGTACAACGGCCAAAAGTTAGTTTCTTGCGATTTTTGCACGAAAAAAAATTTTTTGAACATGGCATATCCAAAAAAAAACAACTCCTACTGGAGTTTGTTTCTAGGGACTGCCCCAATCCCACAAAAAATTACCGATCCCCTGGAAAACGTACTTGAAGGTAATACAAGGGTGAAAATTCATTTTTTTTGCGATTTTTACACAAAACTATTTTTTTTCAACATGAAAAATACAAAAAAACCAAACCATTTCTATTGGAGAATGTTTATAGGGACGCCCCCAATTTCATAAAAAATTACCAACCCCCTCGGACCTACTTGTGGGTACTACAAGTGTCAAAAGTTAGTTGCAAGTTAGTTGCGAGTTAGTTCTTACGATTTTTACACGAAAAAAAATTTTTTGAACCTGACATATTCAAAAAAACAAACAATTCCTATTGGAGCATGTTTCTAAGGACTCCCTCAATCTCAATTTATTATATTCTACTGCCCGATGGTCAGTTCGATTCAGTTAGTAATTTCGCTTGAAATGAGAGTAATCCCGCCATCTTCCAGCGTGCATCTGCACTAAAAATATACGACATTTGCTGAAAATATCTCCAATACCGAGCCCTTTTCAACCCGCTGCTGATCTGAATCTGCCCATCGGGGAATGTGTGTCCACAAATTTCCGTGCCCATCAGTTCCATTTGAGATTGTCCATACAAACCAAGCACGCACAAACGACCCCTCGCCCCCCACACAACCACATGAAGTAAACGAGTCGACTGATGGAAGCGAGCCATTACATTTCCATGCGAGTGCACCCTGACCTACAATACCGTGACTGTCACCGCCTCCCACTGACTGAATGCGCTGGAATGGCGCGTCAGCTGCGTGCACCAGCTTAGGAGCCACTGATTGTGACGATGATTGAGTGACCAAATGTGATAATAATAGAGAAGAGTTACCGTTGTTTGTTCCTTGTGTCTCCTTTTTTGTGATTCAAATGTCAAATGTTGTGTCAATGATGAGCTCTCCACTGTCGTTGAGCAGCTCCAGTGCCTCCACTGGAGCTCCTGGAATGGAGACCGTTGTGGCTGTTGCTCTGGGAGCTCTCGCTGCTGTCTTCCTGGGGGCTCTGATTGTTCTCCTCGTCATCTGCAGGAGGCAACGGTGTTATTATGTAGGTTGACGATGGAAAGTGAGGCAGGAGCAGGGGGAAAGCACTATTATGGAGCTCCTTTGATGTTTTGTTTATTTTAGAATCAGAAAGACTCTAATGATCTCAATTCTGATCTCCTCGAGGGCGAGAACGGACTGGGACTTGGGTTGGACGTGTGGGAGGGCGAGGAGTGGCTTGCTGGAGCTGAAAGGTATAAACCCAAAAAGAAAATAAAACCAAACACAAAAAAATATAGCCGTCCGTTGTTGTCTGTTTTATTCGTTTTTTTGTTTTGTCTTGTCTCCAGTAATTTAATGTGCCCTTTGTTTATCAGTTAAGGAAATTTGTTTATCGTCTCAAGACAATCGGACCCAAAACGATATTTGGCCATTTTTTAGCAAATTTTATGTTTTCATGTCGAAGAAACATTCTATAATTTTTTTGACTGATAGCAGAACATATGAAACTAACTCTTTTGATGTTAAGAAAAAATAAACGCAATAGTTTTGCCAGAACTAAATGAATAAATTTTACTTTATACTCGGGCTCTTGTGAGATTTATGTTGAAATTTATCATTCACCTAGAAGACTCTAAAAATAAAAGGTAATGTGCAAAATTATACTGAATCAAATGGCCAGAGAAAAATTTGGGGTACCCGGGCAAAAAGAGGAAATATTTGAAAGATTCTATCTCTAATAAGCGCATGTTAGCGCATGTTTTTGGTGCATTTTGTCCACTCCACTCCTAAATAATAAACGTGGGATGGATTGACATTTTTATAAAGATAAAGGAAATAACGTCATCTCTCAGTAGAAAAAAAATCAATTTTTTTTTAATACTCGCAATTTTAGATAAACATCTTTAATTTATGGCATTCTCATAAGTTATTAAGTTTTTATATCCTCCTGTGAAATTATTTGTTGACTAGTTTTTTGAATCTAATAAAAAATGCTTTCATGAAATTTCCGTTTTTTAGAGTTCAAATTTTGAAGGGGTTTCTTGTAATTTTCTCCCATGCAGGGGTATTTGAAAAATAATTTGAAGATTTCTTGTTGCACTTTTAGATTTTTCCTCCGTTACTATTCGATTGAGATTCGATAAGAATCTTTTTTTGGGGTTTAGGTGGGTTGATGATGCCACTGGCTTGGCACCACCTTGCATTGCTGTGCTGAGGTCCTGTCATTCACTAGCTGCAAGTCTGACTGCAATCGCTGGGACAGTCAACAGTAATACTGTGCCTCTGGAGATTGTCGATGTGAGTTCCATCGTTTCTCCATTCAGTCCACAATAATTAGACTGAAACTGTGATTTCACACGTACAAAAAAAAATCAGAGGTTTTCATTTCTCTGTGCGAATTACTCTCTTAAGATTTATGCCATAAACATTCTTGAGCGTAAATTTCCTTGAACATAAATTTTTCCAAGGAAATCAGAAAAAAATTGCAAAAATTGGCTATGATTAAATAATTCGAGCAGAATAAGTTGAAAAGGAAAATCAGCATCTGTTTATTTTCCTTCCCACCAGAAAGTTGAAAAAATTTTAAATAACAATCGACGCATGTAAAATGAAATTTTAAAAAATCCAATTCCTTTTAATTTCTATAACTATTTATCATTCGAATAAATCAAATAAGAAGACAAAAACTCAGGGAATTTCAGATTTTACTGAAAAATCTGTGGAATTTAACATTTTTGAGCAGCAGGAAGACCAGAATTCTTCAATTCGCTTGAATTTTCAATAAAAATATGAACATTTAATACAAAATTATACAGCATTTTCCATTTTCAATTTAATTTTAAAACTTTACGAATATATTCTATCAATTTTCATGGAATAATTGAACTAAAATAGAAATTTTCTACCGATTTTTTCATAAAATTTTAATTTTTGAATGACGAAATTCCTTGGAATTGGAATTTCCTTGGGAAGAAGTGCATAATCAATGACCAATTGATTTTATCAACTCCTCAGGTTGCCAGACGCATTCCCCCTCGCGTGGACGACGTAGTTCGCAGTCTCTATCCACCCCTGGATGCCAGGCTCCTCGAGGCGAGAGTTGCAGCTCTAGTTCTAGCTGTCACCCATCTCGCCCTCGTCACAAAACATGGAGTACCAAAAAGTCAGGCACGAAAATTGGCATTCATCGATCAGGCCCTGCAGGACATGGACTCCCATCTCCTTGTCCTCAGGAATGCTGCACTCGCGCAGGAAACAGCGTGCAGCATACCTGCCTCCACCCCAGTTTAATCCCTGGTTTCAACAGTATTTGTTGACAATTATTGATATTATTTTTTCCCACTCCCTATTATTACTACTGATATTACAGAAAATGGAGAAAAACCATTTTTGAAACGTTGTATATATTTTTATTTTATAATATTCATGAGATATCCTTCCAAAAAGAAACAGGTTTAGCGAAAAATGCCTTTTTGTAATAAATATTTACAAGTAATTGATTCAAACTCCAGGTCTTCCACTTCGTCTTCCAGTTTTTTAAACTATTGTTATTAAGGATATCCAAGTAATTTAGTCTCCATTTGTTGATATCTTTTTCAACATTTGTATTTACACGTTAACGTTCTATTTAGGGCTCATTTTTTCCTAAATTACCCAACATTTTACAATAATTTTATTATTGGAACTCCGAAAGTCTAAATTTGATTTGGTTTTTTAAATCTTACAATACGAGAAAAATTATGAATAGTTTATTAGCAATTTTTCATTCTAAAATTTTTTCAATCGTCAAAAAAGTGTCTATATCGAGAATTTAATCAAAAATCTGTTTCATGCCAAACTAATGTTTCCAAAAGTTTGAATAATTCTTATAATTTATTCATTTGAAGGAAATGCTCAAAAGGGACTGATTTTTCCAAAATATTTCCAAATTTGGTGATTGAAAATCTTCAACTACTTAGATACACGGTTAGAAAAAAACATTTCTATATATTGAAAATTACGCTCAATTTTAACTTAAAATCTAAGAATATATACCTGAAGTTTCAACAACTAATTCTTAAAAAATTTAATGAAATATGGAATAAAAAAATCCAAGAAGTGGTCGATAAATTTCAGCCAAAAATATCCAACAGTGTATCCCAAAATATGTTATTATGGTTTAAAATAAACAAAATTAGAATAAAATAGTATAACATTATTTAATTCTCCCTCAATCGGTGTATCTTTATTTAATACAGTAGTAATTATTTTAAAATTTCATTAATCAATTTATTATGTTCCAGAGTGTGGGAAAAATGCTCGTGGACATTTAATTGTGATGATCACACGTGAAATGCATCCACTCATTTTATCCGCACTGTTATCACCATATTCAAAATTCACTGATAACAATGATTTTCTGCACGTGGTTGTCGATGACAAATTCATTTTTACCATTTTATTTAAATAAATTAGCTAGGTAGGCATGAACCCATCCGTTTGAACGCTACACAGCAGCGCTGAACCAGACGATGAATGAATTTCGATTCATACATTGGATGTGGTTGACGGCAATGGAACCAAGAAGTAGATATCGTTCTTTTCGGGTTTTCTTTCTTCGTTCATCAAAAAATGGAGATTAATGATTATTTGCCTCGGTTCATGAATTCCTTCTCTCTCTTCTGGTTGTCCTTCAGAACTTTAGACTTGAGGTGCTCCTTGTAGTTCAATATTCCACCTTGCCATTTTGTCACTGTTCCATTCTCACATACCCAAATTTCTTCGGCGACCTGGAATAGTGAATATGAATTTTTAGAAAATTAAAAAGAGATTGGGCATTGTAATTCTAGATGCATGACTTTCTAAAATTAATATCTTTGTTTTGAAGAAGAAGAGAGCGAAATATCTGTACAGAGTTTTTTTATTAGAGAAAATTGAGAGCTACGAAAGATCAGGAAATTTTTTTTAAAACGTCTTCTAGATTTTCAAAAATCTAGCAACTCATTTCGAAGTTTAATTGAACTGATTCTTTAAAAATGATAATGTATTCACTTGGAGAAGGCGTGGGAGTCACATGGAACACACACACGGCAAAGGTGAACCCCTTTCATCTTCGAATCTTTCTTACATCAATTTCAAAAAACTAAAATCAATGTTTGTATAAATTCGATAGATTGCTTCAAATCAATCCTCTAGGAGTGAAATCGACTTGTTCGGTGATTATGTTAATGAAATTGTTTGATGACTCACTTGATTAATAAGTCTGAAGTCGTGAGAAACGAGGACCATTCCACCGTCAAAATCATTGATAGCATCGGCGAGAGCATCGATTGTCTCCATGTCTAAGTGATTCGTAGGTTCGTCCAGCAGGAGTAGATGTGGCACCTGCCAGGCAAGCCATGCAAACACCACTCGACAGCGTTGTCCATCGGACAATTGCCTGATTGGGCAGACCTGCTGACGACCAGTGAGACCATAACGTCCAATGATTTTCCTCATCTCCTCCCTCTCCTTGACATCCGGGAAGGCCTTCATCATGTAGTCAAGGGGGGACATGTCAAGGTCCAATAATTCATGAAGATGTTGGTGGTATCTCGCAATTCGGAGATGAGAGTTCTTGCGAATCATTCCACTACTTGGGACCAACTAAACATAAAAATGAAGAGATTAATTAAATGGCAGCAGTGAAACAGAAGAGCAAAAATTAATTCTTCCCCTTTAATTGTTAAATTATTGATTTTCAACTAGCTCGTAAGTGAAAGAATTCAATTAAAAATTATATTTTTTATTTAGAAAATTAATGTTCGATCATCCATCGGTGCTCGTCAAATGATGCAATTTGAATCAATCAGGTCTCATTTTCAAAATTATAAAAATATCTCAACTGAAAAAAACTAAAAATTCTACTGTTGATTTTTTGTTAATATCTCTATAGTTTTAATCCCCATAAATACAAATAATCCTTACATCTCCATAAAGCAGTTTCAAGAGCGTGCTTTTCCCCGCTCCATTGGGCCCGACGAGGGCCAGCCTCGTATCCAAATCAATCCCGAACTCAAGATTCTTATAAATCCAGGGAGAATCATCATTATACCGAAAGCTGACGTTCTGCACCATGATAACAGGCGGTGGAATTCCCCCACAGCTTGGAAAATAAAAGTTGAGCACTTTGTCACTGGTGACCTTCTCAGTCAGCCCTTGTGCCACCATCTTCGCCAGTGTCTTCTCCTTGGACTGAGCCTGTCTTGCAAGTTTTGCCGATCCGTGACCAAACCTAGCGATGTAATTCTTCATGTGAGCGATCTGATCTTGCTCCCAGTTGTACTGCTTCGCCTGGTTCTCCAGGAGCTCCATTCTTGTTTTACCGAATGCCTCGTAGTTTCCAGTGTAATATTTCAGCTGTTTTTTATTCAGATGAATGATATTCGTACAGATACCTGGAATGATGGATTTTATTTTGAGTAAAATTGAAATTAACTTGATGTACAAATATAATTATGAAAATTTGAAGATGAAAAATAGTTAGACCATTTTTTGGATTAAGACTAGAAAAAAGGGTCGTTTTTTTGGAATTATTTTTGTGCATAATTCATAAACAACCGATTTTGCAGCTTAACAAAAATTTTTTTTCTAGTTCCCATTCTTCTTTTCTGAAAACGAAAATGAACAAGTTCTTCTCTGCAAAATTTAATTCGAACGTTATCTCGATTGTTTTTCCATCTTCATAATCTAAACTATAACACAACTCACTAGATTTTACATCACGTAGGTGTCCCTAAAAATTATGATTGCACAATCAAAAAAAGTAAAAAAAAATTGAGCATGAGAGGAAATTCTAAATGGATAATTTATCATGACAAATACTGCGACAAATGACGACTGAACAGTCATTAGATACTGTAAATTATTAATTTGCAATTTCCTCCCTATTGGGTTTATTCCCCAATATTATTCAAAAATGCTTTTTGAAAATGTTCAGTTTTTTAAGACTGCAGGGCTGTGTAAAACTGAAATGGCACTTGAAAATAAAAAAAACAACCAAGATCACGTTCGAAAGACAATACACGCTGGTCTTAAACTGAAAAACATCCTTACCATTCAAGAAATCCTGTGAATGAGATATGATGACAAGAATTCGCTTGTACGTCTTCAGCTCCTCTTCCAGCCAGACGCAGGCGTCAAGATCGAGATGATTCGTGGGCTCGTCTAGAAGAAGTAAATGAGGTTTGACGTAGAGTGCACGTGCCAGAGCGATGCGCATCCTCCAGCCTCCGGAGAAGTCTTTGGTGGGAGTTCTCTGCATCTTTGGGGTGAAACCAAGACCATGAAGAATGTGGGCGGCACGTGCCTCGGCAGTATCAGCGGACATGTCGTCCAGTCTCTCGTACACGTCCATCAGCTGCTCCTGGGCGTCCTCCTCAGGACAATCCACCAACTCCTCCGCCAATTTTTCAAGACGAACTCGCTCCTCATCGACCTCCATGACACATTCGAGAGCTGTTTTGTTGCTGGCTGGCATCTCTCGGGAGAGATGGAATATGTCGATCTGCTCTGGAATGGGCACCTCACGGTTACCCACCACTGAGAGGAGAGTGGACTTGCCCGAGCCGTTGAGACCCAGCAGACCGTAACGTCGGCCGCAGTTCAACTCCAGCATCGTGTCCTGGAGAAGCTCACAACCGTGGAAGGTTATGGAGAAGGTGGAGATTTTTATGTCTCGACTGCGGGGGTGAGACGCGAGGCTCCCTGTGCACGAACGGGCCTCGGCGTTGAGGCGGGCGTCTGCCTCTAGCTTCATGCAGAGGGCCTCTGGAGAGTTAGGGGGTTGGAGATTAGAATGAAATTTTTTTATTCCACGGACGATAAAAAATTGCAAAAAAACAGTGAATTCGCTAGAAATTTGATTGAATTTCTATTAGTTTTTGACTGATTCTGTTGAAAATTTCCACAAGTTATCCGCGGGTTTTTTTCAGCGAAAAATATTCGATGGAAAATATTTTATAGGAAAAATCAAAAGAATTCGATTTTTCTATATGAGTTATTCTACTGATATTTCTAGCGGGCGCCTGCCTCTAACTTCATGGAGAGAGCCTCTGGAGATTTAGGGAGTTGGAGATTAGAATGAAGTTTTTTTATTCCACGGATGATAAAAAATTGCAAAAAAACAGTGAATTCGCTAGAAATTTGATTGAATTTCTAGTAGTTTTTGACTGATTCTGTTGAAAATTTCCACAGGTTATCTGCGGGTTTTTGTCAAAGAAAAATATTCGATGAAAAATATTTTATAGGAAAAATCAAAAGAATTCGATTTTTCTATATGAGTTATTCTACTGAGATTTCTAGCGGGCGCCTGCCTCTAACTTCATGGAGAAAGCCTCTGGAGATTTAGGGAGTTGGAGATTAGAATGAAGTTTTTTTATTCCACGGACGATAAAAAATTGCAAAAAAACAGTGAATTCGCTAGAAATTTGATTGAATTTCTAGTAGTTTTTGACTGATTCTGTTGAAAATTTCCACAGGTTATCTGCGGGTTTTTGTCAAAGAAAAATATTCGATGAAAAATATTTTATAGGAAAAATCAAAAGAATTCGATTTTTCTATATGAGTTATTCTACTGAGATTTCTAGCGGGCGCCTGCCTCTAACTTCATGGAGAAAGCCTCTGGAGATTTAGGGAGTTGGAGATTAGAATGAAGTTTTTTTATTCCACGGACGATAAAAAATTGCAAAAAAACAGTGAATTCGCTAGAAATTTGATTGAATTTCTAGTAGTTTTTGACTGATTCTGTTGAAAATTTCCACAGGTTATCTGCGGGTTTTTGTCAAAGAAAAATATTCGATGAAAAATATTTTATAGGAAAAATCAAAAGAATTCGATTTTTCTATATGAGTTATTCTACTGAGATTTCTAGCGGGCGCCTGCCTCTAACTTCATGGAGAAAGCCTCTGGAGATTTAGGGAGTTGGAGATTAGAATGAAGTTTTTTTATTCCACGGACGATAAAAAATTGCAAAAAAACAGTGAATTCGCTAGAAATTTGATTGAATTTCTAGTAGTTTTTGACTGATTCTGTTGAAAATTTCCACAGGTTATCTGCGGGTTTTTGTCAAAGAAAAATATTCGATGAAAAATATTTTATAGGAAAAATCAAAAGAATTCGATTTTTCTATATGAGTTATTCTACTGAGATTTCTAGCGGGCGCCTGCCTCTAACTTCATGGAGAAAGCCTCTGGAGATTTAGGGAGTTGGAGATTAGAATGAAGTTTTTTTATTCCACGGACGATAAAAAATTGCAAAAAAACAGTGAATTCGCTAGAAATTTGATTGAATTTCTAGTAGTTTTTGACTGATTCTGTTGAAAATTTCCACAGGTTATCTGCGGGTTTTTGTCAAAGAAAAATATTCGATGAAAAATATTTTATAGGAAAAATCAAAAGAATTCGATTTTTCTATATGAGTTATTCTACTGAGATTTCTAGCGGGCGCCTGCCTCTAACTTCATGGAGAAAGCCTCTGGAGATTTAGGGAGTTGGAGATTAGAATGAAGTTTTTTTATTCCACGGACGATAAAAAATTGCAAAAAAACAGTGAATTCGCTAGAAATTTGATTGAATTTCTAGTAGTTTTTGACTGATTCTGTTGAAAATTTCCACAGGTTATCTGCGGGTTTTTGTCAAAGAAAAATATTCGATGAAAAATATTTTATAGGAAAAATCAAAAGAATTCGATTTTTCTATATGAGTTATTCTACTGAGATTTCTAGCGGGCGCCTGCCTCTAACTTCATGGAGAAAGCCTCTGGAGATTTAGGGAGTTGGAGATTAGAATGAAGTTTTTTTATTCCACGGACGATAAAAAATTGCAAAAAAACAGTGAATTCGCTAGAAATTTGATTGAATTTCTAGTAGTTTTTGACTGATTCTGTTGAAAATTTCCACAGGTTATCTGCGGGTTTTTGTCAAAGAAAAATATTCGATGAAAAATATTTTATAGGAAAAATCAAAAGAATTCGATTTTTCTATATGAGTTATTCTACTGAGATTTCTAGCGGGCGCCTGCCTCTAACTTCATGGAGAAAGCCTCTGGAGATTTAGGGAGTTGGAGATTAGAATGAAGTTTTTTTATTCCACGGACGATAAAAAATTGCAAAAAAACAGTGAATTCGCTAGAAATTTGATTGAATTTCTAGTAGTTTTTGACTGATTCTGTTGAAAATTTCCACAGGTTATCTGCGGGTTTTTGTCAAAGAAAAATATTCGATGAAAAATATTTTATAGGAAAAATCAAAAGAATTCGATTTTTCTATATGAGTTATTCTACTGAGATTTCTAGCGGGCGCCTGCCTCTAACTTCATGGAGAAAGCCTCTGGAGATTTAGGGAGTTGGAGATTAGAATGAAGTTTTTTTATTCCACGGACGATAAAAAATTGCAAAAAAACAGTGAATTCGCTAGAAATTTGATTGAATTTCTAGTAGTTTTTGACTGATTCTGTTGAAAATTTCCACAGGTTATCTGCGGGTTTTTGTCAAAGAAAAATATTCGATGAAAAATATTTTATAGGAAAAATCAAAAGAATTCGATTTTTCTATATGAGTTATTCTACTGAGATTTCTAGCGGGCGCCTGCCTCTAACTTCATGGAGAAAGCCTCTGGAGATTTAGGGAGTTGGAGATTAGAATGAAGTTTTTTTATTCCACGGACGATAAAAAATTGCAAAAAAACAGTGAATTCGCTAGAAATTTGATTGAATTTCTAGTAGTTTTTGACTGATTCTGTTGAAAATTTCCACAGGTTATCTGCGGGTTTTTGTCAAAGAAAAATATTCGATGAAAAATATTTTATAGGAAAAATCAAAAGAATTCGATTTTTCTATATGAGTTATTCTACTGAGATTTCTAGCGGGCGCCTGCCTCTAACTTCATGGAGAAAGCCTCTGGAGATTTAGGGAGTTGGAGATTAGAATGAAGTTTTTTTATTCCACGGACGATAAAAAATTGCAAAAAAACAGTGAATTCGCTAGAAATTTGATTGAATTTCTAGTAGTTTTTGACTGATTCTGTTGAAAATTTCCACAGGTTATCTGCGGGTTTTTGTCAAAGAAAAATATTCGATGAAAAATATTTTATAGGAAAAATCAAAAGAATTCGATTTTTCTATATGAGTTATTCTACTGAGATTTCTAGCGGGCGCCTGCCTCTAACTTCATGGAGAAAGCCTCTGGAGATTTAGGGAGTTGGAGATTAGAATGAAGTTTTTTTATTCCACGGACGATAAAAAATTGCAAAAAAACAGTGAATTCGCTAGAAATTTGATTGAATTTCTAGTAGTTTTTGACTGATTCTGTTGAAAATTTCCACAGGTTATCTGCGGGTTTTTGTCAAAGAAAAATATTCGATGAAAAATATTTTATAGGAAAAATCAAAAGAATTCGATTTTTCTATATGAGTTATTCTACTGAGATTTCTAGCGGGCGCCTGCCTCTAACTTCATGGAGAAAGCCTCTGGAGATTTAGGGAGTTGGAGATTAGAATGAAGTTTTTTTATTCCACGGACGATAAAAAATTGCAAAAAAACAGTGAATTCGCTAGAAATTTGATTGAATTTCTAGTAGTTTTTGACTGATTCTGTTGAAAATTTCCACAGGTTATCTGCGGGTTTTTGTCAAAGAAAAATATTCGATGAAAAATATTTTATAGGAAAAATCAAAAGAATTCGATTTTTCTATATGAGTTATTCTACTGAGATTTCTAGCGGGCGCCTGCCTCTAACTTCATGGAGAAAGCCTCTGGAGATTTAGGGAGTTGGAGATTAGAATGAAGTTTTTTTATTCCACGGACGATAAAAAATTGCAAAAAAACAGTGAATTCGCTAGAAATTTGATTGAATTTCTAGTAGTTTTTGACTGATTCTGTTGAAAATTTCCACAGGTTATCTGCGGGTTTTTGTCAAAGAAAAATATTCGATGAAAAATATTTTATAGGAAAAATCAAAAGAATTCGATTTTTCTATATGAGTTATTCTACTGAGATTTCTAGCGGGCGCCTGCCTCTAACTTCATGGAGAAAGCCTCTGGAGATTTAGGGAGTTGGAGATTAGAATGAAGTTTTTTTATTCCACGGACGATAAAAAATTGCAAAAAAACAGTGAATTCGCTAGAAATTTGATTGAATTTCTAGTAGTTTTTGACTGATTCTGTTGAAAATTTCCACAGGTTATCTGCGGGTTTTTGTCAAAGAAAAATATTCGATGAAAAATATTTTATAGGAAAAATCAAAAGAATTCGATTTTTCTATATGAGTTATTCTACTGAGATTTCTAGCGGGCGCCTGCCTCTAACTTCATGGAGAAAGCCTCTGGAGATTTAGGGAGTTGGAGATTAGAATGAAGTTTTTTTATTCCACGGACGATAAAAAATTGCAAAAAAACAGTGAATTCGCTAGAAATTTGATTGAATTTCTAGTAGTTTTTGACTGATTCTGTTGAAAATTTCCACAGGTTATCTGCGGGTTTTTGTCAAAGAAAAATATTCGATGAAAAATATTTTATAGGAAAAATCAAAAGAATTCGATTTTTCTATATGAGTTATTCTACTGAGATTTCTAGCGGGCGCCTGCCTCTAACTTCATGGAGAAAGCCTCTGGAGATTTAGGGAGTTGGAGATTAGAATGAAGTTTTTTTATTCCACGGACGATAAAAAATTGCAAAAAAACAGTGAATTCGCTAGAAATTTGATTGAATTTCTAGTAGTTTTTGACTGATTCTGTTGAAAATTTCCACAGGTTATCTGCGGGTTTTTGTCAAAGAAAAAT